AGGTAACAACCCCTGCCTGGCCTTGATGTCCTCACCTGTAACAGGTGACAGCAACAGGGCACACCTCCCAGAAGCACAGTGACCATTCACAGAGCATGTGAAGATCGTCCTTTCCTTCTCCCTCACTTCTGGGCTAGCCCTTCACGGTTTTATGCCAAGTCCATTTGCTCCATTTTCTAGAACAACTAGAGTGGCAGAGTGCCCCCATGCTAGTTCCTTCTGCTTTACACTTTAGCATGCAGACATTTGATCTCATTTAGAACATGAACCCATTAAAAGGCAATTTGTGGGGGTTTTTTTGTTTGTTGGTTTGTTTTGAGACAGAGTTTTACTCTTGTCGTCCAGGTTGGAGTGCAATGGCGTGATCTTGGCTCAATTCAGCCTCCACCTCCCAGGTTCAAGTGATTTTCCTGCCTCAGCCTCTCCAGTAGCTGGGACTACAGGCACCTGCCACCACACTCAGCTAATTTTTGCATTTTTAGTAGAGATGGGGTTTCACCATGTTGTCCAGGATGGTCTCGAACTCCTGACCTCTCAGGTGATCCACCCGCCTCTGCCTCTGCCTCTGCCTCTGCCTCCCAAAGTGCTGGGATCACAGGCATGAGCTGCCACACCCTGCATAAAAAGGCAATTTGTTACTAGGGTTGGGAGACCCAGGTCAGTACCAACAGAGATCCAAGGAGCAAGGTTTCCCAGTGACTCCAGCTTTGTAAGCAAAACATATTCAGTAAGGAATTTCCCTGAAATATGGAGTGGTATGCATTCGCCACACATATTCAATATCCACATTTCATCGGAAGTGCCAGAATGCCTCTGCCAAGGAGAGAGCTTTGAAAAGCAACTCACTCTGCCCCTGCTCTCTCCTTTATGAAAAGACTAGAATGGTTAACACGTTATTTTAAAAATTATTTCAAGTCAAACATTCACTTGATCACCCTAGTCCAGTTTAACTTGGAAAGCTACTTTCTGAGGGTTGTGGGGAAAAAAAAAAAAAAAAAAAAAAAAAAAAAGAATGGCCACAACTTAAATCAGAATGTGGATAACATGATCAAAAACTTATGTTCCCATCTCAGAGTCAACTGGAGACACTTTAAGATATAACTAATTTCGGAATTCTAGAGTTTCGGAGAAAGTATCATCATTAGTGGGGCATGAACATGTCCTGACGTCACCATTTGCTTGCAAATCCTGTATTGACCTACCAGGCAGAGCTGGAAATAACTATATCTACAAACCCCAAGAGGAGGGAGTAAAATGTTCTTTAGGGACCTGCTTTTTTTTTTTTAAGAAAAAAAACCTGTGAGGTATCACATAGACAAGAGAGGTTCTTTTTTAGTTCAGTTGTCCTCTGTTTGGCTCATATACTGAATTCCCCAAGCTATCATTACTATGAACAGACTACTTTCTCCCCTAATGTATAAATTACAAATAACCCAATGACATGGGAGATGGACCCTTGTGATTTTTAAACCCAAGAACTCCTGGTCTGCAGAAAGAATTTTACTGCTGAGTGAAACCAAATCCACAGTGTGGATCAGGAATCATTCAGTTTTTTTTGTCTCTGGCTGTGGTTATATACCCCAAACAAGAAAAACACACACACACACACACACACTCTCCAGAAAGGAGGTGAGAAGGAAGCTGGTATCGACTGAGCCAATTGTGCAAAACAAAGGAGGAAGGGGTTGAGGGCAGTGCAGTGTGTGTGTGTGTTTATGAGTGTGTGCGGAAAAGGGTATATTACAACATTCTTGATCCCTTGGCTAAGAAAACACAATGAAAGCCTCAACACAAATCAAACAAATTGAAAGTTGAGGTTGTTTCTGAGAATTTTCCTCCTCTTTCCCATCAGGAATAAGCAGGGAAGAACTGGCCTGATTATCCAAACAGCCTGGTAGGGGCTCTGTCTCCGAAGCTGCTGGTCAGGCTATGCTATCATTGAGTCATAGTGTCAGATTCTATGGAGGGTGGGACTGAGCAGGTAACATGACCTGTGACCTCTGAAACTGGCTCTCCCAACCCCCACCACCAACAATTTTCTCTATCTCTGCCTAACTCCTCTAGCTTCTGGTTTCTGCACATAAGCAGTGGGCAAAGGAGTATGGCTGCTTCTTTAAAAGGCAAACAAAAATTAATAGGCCCAAGGAAGTGACCTTCTAGGAGGTCAGAACACTTCAAAACCACTACTTTGAAGGACAAGACACATCTATTGTTAGTTTCCTCATTTCAATGCTTACAGAGTATCAGCAAGGTTGGTGCGGTGGCTCACACCTGTAAACCTAGCACTTTGGGAGGCTGAAGCGGGTGGATCATCTGAGGTCAGGAGTTCGAGACCAGCCTGACCAACATGGTGAAACCCCATCTCTACTAAAAATACAAAATTAGCCAGGCTTGGTGGTGCATGCCTGTAATCCCAGCTACTGGGGAGGCTGAGGCAGGAGAATTGCTTGAACCCAGGAGGCGGAGGTTGCAGTGAACGGAGATCACACCATTGCACTCCAGCCTGGGCAACAAGAGTGAAACTCTGTCTCAAAAAAAAAAAAAAAGAGTATCAACAATGCTGCCTGACATAAAGTTCACTTCCAGATCTGGAGATGATGTACCAGCAAATGGCCATTTCATCCAGTCTTGTTGAAAAAGATGAACACACTGACAAAGCTCCTTACTACACTCAGTCCACAGATACTCACCTTTCTAGACATGTAACACTGTCACCCAGGCAAGGTGAGATTCCCAGCATATTCAGTTTCATTTTATGATGTTCCTTCCTTAAAAAACAAACCTAAAAAACCTCTGTCTCCCAACTTATCTCTTAAGTATTAAGTACCCTTCTTTTACCTCCCAAAATATACCTTGTCCAGCTAATTTTGATCACAAGCACTTTTGGGGGCTACATTTCCCAAAGTTAAGCAGTTGAAGCTACAGAACTATTTTATTAGCAAATCAATTGTTTTTTCAGGAACTTTAAAACTACAGCTAATCGGGAAAAAAAAATTGTGCCCTTATTCCTTTCAAAATGTACTGAAAGGCTAGACTGGAGTGCAGAAGCTTAGGGGAAAAAAAGCCTCCTGCTTTTCTTACGTCATCAAATGCGTCCTTTCCTTCCCAGATTGCTGACCAATATGATAGGCTGGAATGCCTAAGAAATGTAAACAAAACACCTCCTTCTGTCTTTCTCAGCGCGTCTTTCCTTCTTAATTAGATTTCGCCCCAGAATTATCTTTTCAATTAAGAGGATCTCAATCTGCTCAGGCGGCTCAACTGTTTACAAAGGAACTGGTCTTCCTTGTCAAGTGAGCATTCTTTCTCCCCAGTTCCTTCAAAACTTCACAAAAGGGGCGGCATCTCTCAGAAAGTCTGTATATGACAAAACTGACACACAGGATAAATACGGCAAGACTGTGAGAGCAGATGGGAAGGAGCAGTGCCCGCCCCACCAGAGTACGCAGGAAATCAACGTGTGGCCTGGTCTCGCACTTGGGAGGGCAACCTTATGGGGTCCTTTGAATCCCCGTTGGTGACCCGCAGTCCAATCCACATTCCTTGGCTTATTTATGGGAGACGGATATATTAGCAACAAATGGGTTTATGCAGATATGTATGTGTTTCAAAAACCCTGGCAGCCCGGGGAGGGCTCTGAACTGTGCCCTGCACGGACTTTGCAGTTCCCACGGAGACAAACCCCCGTGCGTGCTGCGTGCGTGGCTCAGATGAGCCATTTGTGTCCAGCCATTCTGTGCCCTGGATGATTTTTGCATCTTAATGGGTTCTGTGACACAGAGCGATTTCCCTGGTAACATCCTGAAATGATACCTAGATTTTTAACACCTATTTGTGTGTTGGACTGATTAGCTCGGCCCTAAGACAAGTATTTAATGGCATGCTAGTCAGTCCCCAGCCCTGCTTAAGTGTCCCCTCAGACGGGCTGGCTTAAAGAAAACTGACAGAAATGTTCTTTAATAACTATGGTTTATCCATTTCTTTCAGATAGTAAGTGGCACGTTCTCACCTCATTTGTAGCTTTTAATCCCAAATGGACATTGCTTTTGAAATATCCTCTTTCTTTCTTTTCTTTCTTCTCCCCCTGAGGCTGCCACTTGAAAGTTGAAATCTAGCAAGAATGTAATAGTAGGTACCAGCTTTCTGAATTACAGGGTGACTGCCTGGACTGATCCTAAAAAGCAAGTGTCTTTTTTATGCCGCATAAAAGGCTGAAATGTTTACATATCAAAAGGCTATAGGCCAATTTCTGTCAAAATTACACATGAAGTTAAGCAGTACAAGCAATTTATTTAAACACTAGTCATTGTAGAAAAATTCAAAACCATATGCTCTTTAGCAGTTTTTCACAAATGCATTTGACCCATGACTTGGCTAGACATACAAGCTTCATAATTTACTCTAAATTTCAAATCCCCTTGACGTTTAAATAAAAGATCTTCATTAATGAGGTTTACATGAATGAAAACTTTAGAAGCAGATATCAGTTAGCGAAGGGCTTCGTTCTAATTTTCAAATGACTGACTTCGCTAATCATTTCAAGAGAAACTTCTTCTGAGAACAAATTATCATCATTTGCACTCTGTGACTTGCAAAAGCAAAGGTGCAGTCATTTTGAAACAAACTTTGGTAAGTAGCCCGGCTGAAATCGGATTTCTGCAACCCCGGAAAGCCCAAGCTATTTATTATTTTTTTTTTTTTCCTAAGGTCTTGGGAACACATCATTTTTCGACAGTCCCTTCTTCTCTTCTCTTCTCTTTTCTTCTGTTGAGCTTTCCTAACACCTTGATTATTTCTTCCTTAAGGGCTCGGGTGCTTTTATTTGGAGGGTTGCAAAACTTCTAGCAAAAAATCAGCTAGAAAGCTCCCTTATGCCCGCCACTCCGAAAGCAGGAGACCCAGCTCTAGTGCGCGCTGCCCCTTAGCCTGGAGGCATTTGCGCCTCTGGCTCTACTCCACCCACCCAACCTCACACGGAAAATCACCTGGGGCTACCGGAGATGTCCTCCAGAAAGCAGCAGGGCCGTGGAACGGGGTTTGAGCCCTTAGCTTTGAGACTGGATTTTTTAGAAGTCCCAATACAAACAACATAACCATTCTGCTCAGTGAGGACGGCTGGGGTCTTGGCGCAGCACACGGGCTGTAGGGGGCTCCGCGCATTGCTCCTAATTCCTCTGACCTCGCTAATGCGCCCTCCGAGGAGGGCTCCGTACCTTTGAAAAGGACACACCGCCTTTTTGCACATGACACGAAAAATCCTACTTAAACGCACCCGATTGTGAACTCTGCTCTGTGGCCGGGCAGGAGACGGAGAGAATTAAGAAAGTTCCTGAAACGAACCGTAAGAAGTTGGGGTCGAAGATGCATTATTTTTTACAGTTATGCGGGATGGGGTGTAAAGTTAGTGGGGCAACAGTTTTCTCCATGACAAAAATATCTTGGGGCGGGAGAAGATACCCACACGCATACTCCAAACTTGGGCACTGTTTTAAATCAGAGAAGCAATTGAATCTACACTCTATGAATCAATTTAGTGATGACCGCAGCGCAAAAGCGCCGTGACAGATGCCGAACGGCAAATAGACCTTATGCATGTGGAATCCGCTGATCTATTCTTTAATATCTTAAAAATGAGGGCTATTACTGGGGCGAGTGACTCCTCAACAAACACATTTTCATAGACTTCTGCGTGGTGATTGCTTTGTGTGAAATCGTGTTTGGGTGATAATAGGGAAAATCAGCGTCATGTTTACTGCATTTCCGACCTAAGCGCTCGCCGGCTGCCTCTGGACGCTGGCTGTCCTCCCATGCTGAGCCGTGCGTGCGGGGCCGACAAACAATCGCTTAGCAACACGAGGCGGACAATTTGCGTGCGTCGCATTTGTTATTCCAATTGCGCCAGGCGACGCGGAGCCCTGATGGTTTGTTTAGCACGTCGAGGACACTTGTGGGTTTCCGCCCGTCAAGGCGCAGCGCGAGCACCGAGCCCGGACTGCCTTTCCTGGGGCCTGCCTCCCCGCGGCTGCAGATTGAAGGAGCAACCCGGTGGGGGAGGTCTCGCCGCGCAGGGGTGAGCTCCCCCAGATCTCCGGCAGAGTGTCTGGAGCTGTGTGGCCTTGGGGTTCCTGTGACCCCCTTCCCGGAAAGTCCCCTCCGCGGGAGCACTGGCTTTTCCTTATTTTAGACTCAGCTGATGTAGGAATCCTGTCCTTGTCTGGGGGCAGGGGTGGGGACAGCACACTCCTTTGTCTCAATGAAAAATAAACAAGAAAATGCCCCCAAGTTCATCCCCAACCTCCTTGGCGAACGGATGACAATTACCAAGTCTCATTAAATGTTAGGGTTGTAAAGGAACTCAATGAATGTTGGTGCTGGCTTGATCAACTAAAATCTTGAGGCCTCCAGAGAAGGGGTAATTTGCAAGGTGGCAAGGTTAGGTCTAGAACTCTGACGCTCAGATGCTGTACGGGGCTCCGCTTGTACAGCCGAGGGCTGCAGGAAAGCACAGGCGCAGTATAGGAGTTTGCTAAACCTGGTTATTAGAAAGAACAACATACCAGGTGGAAGGGGAGACGGAGGGGTGTGTGGAGGTGGTTGTCCGACACTTTTAAAAACCTGGAGACACTTCTTTTTCAGATCTGAGGTTGAAATCTTGACTCTATCCTGATTTGGCATCTTTGCAAGAATAGGACGAGGGATCTGTCCCAAGCGTCCGGTGGCACTTGTGCCTCTGCCCGGCTCAGACAAAGGTCTTAAAAGATCCACTCACGCGCACCGCAGCGCACACCCAGCCTCCAACACAAACGCAGGCAGTCACTGCTGAAGTTGCAGCCTCTAGTTGTCTTCCATCAACCACCCCGTAGATTTAAACCTGGGAAAGATTGGTGGGGGAGTATCTGCCCTGGAGCACGGTGATTTAAGTCTCTGAGAACCAAACAACAAAAAAGCCTTCATCCTAGTCAGTGGGAGATGGAAGGTGCCTCACTTCTTATCCTAGACCTGGCCTCTCTAAGCGGAGGGTCACACTCCCTCCTTGTTTTTATTGTTAAAAAAGAAAAAAGAAAAAATCTAATTGCTTCTCCAAATTGAGACCCATCTCCGTCATGTCCTAATCCCCACTTACAACCACCTCTAGTTTGCGCAACACTGGAAGGCGCAACTCTCAGGCCACAAGCCGGTGGGTGTGAGGACACAGAGGTCCACGCTGGGAGGCCTAGGAGGAGAAGCGCCGCCGCCTGGCTCCACTGGGCCGCTTCTGCGCAGCGCCAGAGTAGTGCCCTCGGACAGGACTAAACCTCCGTGCAATGGCTCTTTGAAACCCGAACAGCCATTGACAAGTGGCCTTTCCCCTTTGCCCCTGCGCCGGGGAGTGGGCAGCCCACTTACTTAGCCTTACCGCGGCGACTTCAGACAACTTTGAGGGGTCCCTTGGTTAATTAGACAGAGACAAATCGCGAAAAATAGGTGTGAGTTAAAGGTGGCCTTCCTTCAGGAAACGCGAGGTCTCCATCTCCGGCTCTCGGCCGTATCGCCTTGGTCGGGTACTGCCCCTTCCCCTGGAGTGGCCTGAGTTGCAAGCCGGGGGCTTGCACCCGGTCCACAGGATCTGGGGGACTGCTTTTGTTCCGCGCGTACCGTCGCCTACCTTCTCGAAGGGCGCTCGGCCGCCTGCTTGCAGTGAGTGGTGGGCAGGCTGCGCCTCCCGTGGCTCGGGCAGGCTGGCCGTGCCATGCCGAGAATCCCGCAAATCACCGCGGCCGCCTGCCGCTATGAGAGCCGGCCATCGTCCAGGTCACTGGGGCCCAGGGAGTCCACCCAGGGCCTGCCAGGCGGAAGGGCAGGCCGTGGGTAGGGGGCACGTCCCTATCCGGGAACCAGCAGGTCGTAAGGAAAAATGCGACCCAATTATTAGGGAAGAAGATAGGGAAGTCCCAAAGACCCCATCTGGATTGAAAACCAATAATAATAATAATAATAGTTTGGGAGAGAAGACACCACATTCCCAAAAATAATTTTTTAAAAGCACAAAAACTACCGACACCCACGGTGGGAGCAGCTGGAAGCACCGCTTCAGACTGCAACTCTTGGTGGCGAATTTTAAAGAGCGGCTGAATTTGGTCTTCGCTGTGTAGGACCTAGGGACTGCCACGGTAGTTTTCAGACCAAGAGTGGCTGAAAAAAAAAAAAAAAATTCTTTCTAAGAAGCATGATGCACCCCTCCTTTAGTCGTTTTTTGCCTTTACAAAATTTGTTTTTTCCAAAACCAAAAGGTTTTTGGGGCTGTTAACAAGTTCCATTCGGGAGAGAAACTCAAGATTTAAAAAAGAGGTGAAATTAGGCGGTGAGTACATGGGGGCGCGGAGGAGTGGTGGAATTTTCAATCCTGCTTGAGAGGGGATGCAGCCCCTCACATTTTCTAAAACCACCAATTCCGAAAGGGGAAAAAAAGTAGCCCCAAAGAAAAATCGTCCACAATGAGTTTGAGCTACGGGCAGAGGAAATCGCACCCAATAATAGGACCCAATCTGAGAAAAAAGGGTGGGGGTGGAGAGGTCGGGCGGAGGGAGTTGTTAATTGCGGCGGCACAATGGTATTAATGAGATTAACCAAGGCAATTAGGCCGCCCGCCCAGCTCGGCCGGCCCCTCTGCCCGGCTGCCGAATGGAAAAGATTAGGTTAATTTCATTAATTCGCAATCCACAATCTCTTTTCAGGCCTTGTAACCCCCTCCCCTTGGCACCACTCCCCCTCCCCCTAACCCCCTTCCCCCACCCAAAGGAAAAGAAAGGGCCAAATCTGGTTCTGTTTGTCATCTGCATATTACCAGGAACTAAATCCAGGATGACGTCGACTCAGTATAAAACCAACAAGAGGTTCAGCTGGTCGGAGCTCCGTCCTACCCGCGGGTTGAGTTCAGCGAACGCTGCGGCTAGGGGAGGGCGGGAGGAGGGAGAGCGGACGCAGGGGGCGGGGAGGGGCGCAGGGCTGCGCG